TGTTCTTAATGAGAAGTAAAACGGCATGTGCCTTCCTCACTAGAGAGATTAGCTTGCTGTGTTTTTTATCTTCATTCACATTGCATATTGCACACAGCCTAGGAGTTTTTTTGTGTCAACGAGTAATCTTAATAAAGTGAAAGGTTTAGTTTAGAAAAGTAAAATAGACTAGAGCAAAAGAATGGCGGAAATGGGCCTATTGAGAATGCTCTTCAGTCTTCACATATGTGTCATCATCTTCGTCAACTCCAAGCAATGTTTCTCATGGCCCACAAACATAACCAATTAATCTTCTCAAACTGAACACCACACCATCCCAACCCTCAAACAAAACTTTTAACTTTCCAAGACCCATCTACTTAACATGTCGGTCCAAGAATCGGTGAAGTGATTTCTAGCGCATAAAACTTTGTTGCTGGGGGTGGTATATTTATGAATTTCAAGTTGGAAACAAAAAAACAAAAAAAAATCCTTAAGGTAAAAGGATAAAACTTGTGAACTTACTAACAGCAAATGTTACGACATGATGTGCTCACTCGATTACAAGAAATCGGACACAACACAAACCTCTCTTTCTTCTGTCTTCCTAAAAAAGAAAACTTGTGTTCTATCTTCTCCTCTCAAAGGAGGGATATTTTCAACAAAACCCAAAAGTGTCTTGAACAAACAAAGCCTCCTCCTACTTGTTGGGTTTTTACCATCTGATTTCTTCTCTCTGTCACAAGAAAAGGAAGAAACTCGCGATGATGGCTAGGGATTTGTTTGCGCTACTGTGTTTCATTGTACAGGTGGCTTCGAGCTTGTGTTCTGGTCACGAAAATGGACGAGGAGACCAAGCACTGTCTCAGATTGATATTTACAGCACAAGTTTTGCTCTGCGTCACACTGCCTCCATTCAAGCATCCCCTCATGTTCTTGGTTCCCAGGTAACAACAACAACTAAGCGTCTCCTTCCCAAATTGAGACATGTTATGTTCCTTGGTCTCTTTCCTGTAAACTGATTCTAATGCTCAAATTTGTGTGTGATCAACAACAAGTCAAACTCTGAAATTGCCTTTTGATGATGGATGATGCTACAGGGTGAGGACACTGGATGGGTAAATGTCGATATTTCGAACCCAGAGCCTTCTTCAGACGATTGGGTCGGAGTCTTCTCACCAGCAAAATTCGAGTATTTTCAAATCTATCAGACTCTTTTTATGAATCATATAATATGCTTCATGTGTTGACTGACAACATACTATGTCTTTTTGCTTCTCTTCTTCTAGCTCATCTTCATGCGCTCCAACCGATGCCAAAGAGATAGCTCCTTTCATTTGCTCAGCTCCAATCAAGGTTTCTGTTTCATTTTCAGTCAACTTTGACAAGACAATTATGTTCAATCTCTGCTTCATTTGTTCTTTTCGGTTTTCCTAATTTGGCAGTACATGTATGCCAAGTCCCATCCTGACTATATGAAGAGCGGGAATGCGGTTTTGAAGTTCCTGCTTATAAACCAGAGAGCTGATTTCTCCTTTGCCCTCTTCACCGGGGGACTCTCAAATGTGAGTTTGATTGCAAAACCCCTCTATTTCGTGTTATATGAGCAAATTCCAAATATTGTCTTAAATGATCTGCTCTATCAGCCAACGGTTGTAGCCGTTTCAAATTATGTATCATTTACCAATCCTAAAGTTCCCGTTTATCCGCGTCTTGCTTTAGGGAACAATTGGGACCAAGTAAGTTTTTCCTTTCTTGAAATAGAAAAATTGTTTAATCAAAGCTTTACAGCATCAAAGACTCTCAAATCGTTATAACTGAACTAGAACGTGCTTTATTTTGATTAGATGAGTGTAACATGGACGAGCGGGTACAACATAGGCGAGGCTGTTCCGTTTGTGGAATGGAGTGGGAAGGGAATTCCAAGTAGAAGATCACCAGCTGGTACCTTGACTTTTACCAGAAACAGCATGTGTGGTATGTTCACTTTGAGAGTATGAAACAACGGATCTTTGCCCTCTACTCATTATCTGGATTTCAATTTGGATTCTTACAACACGGTTGAACGCAGGTGCTCCTGCTCGTACTGTTGGGTGGCGAGATCCGGGTTTCTTCCACACCGCTTTTCTGAAAGATCTTTGGCCAAACCTCAAGTATACGCACTGTCTAGAAATATAATTTTCCTTTCTTGTCTAACAACATTGTTCGGATAACGGTTTTGAAACTATTTGGATTTTTTATTACCTCAGGTACACTTACAGGATGGGTCATGAGTTGGTGAATGGATCGATTATTTGGAGCAAGAACTACACCTTTAAGTCTTCTCCTTATCCTGGACAAGACTCGTTACAACGGGTCATAATCTTTGGCGACATGGGAAAGGTACTTACTTACTGTCTCCTATACAACAAGCATTGCCTTGTGTCAGTGTTTCCTCTGGGGGCTTATTTCTTCGGGATATGTTTTTAAGGGAGAGCGGGATGGATCGAACGAGTACAATGATTATCAGCCTGGTTCCCTCAACACGACGGACCAACTCATCAAGGACTTGACGAATATCGACATTGTTTTCCACATTGGAGATATCACTTACGCGAATGGTTACATCTCGCAGTGGGATCAGTTCACAGCTCAAGTCGAGCCTATCGCTTCTACTGTCCCATACATGATCGCAAGGTTAGCCAAGCCATATCAGTCTCAATGGATTTTGGATTCTTGTCCTTAACTTGTGTTACTCTTCTTCAGTGGCAACCACGAGCGGGATTGGCCAGACTCTGGATCCTTCTATGGTGGTAAAGACTCTGGAGGGGAGTGTGGGGTTCCTGCGGAAACCATGTTCTACTTTCCTGCTGAGAACAAAGCTAAGTTCTGGTACTCTGCAGATTATGGGATGTTTCGGTTCTGTGTAGCGGACACAGAACATGATTGGAGAGAAGGGTCAGAGCAATACCGATTCATAGAGCGTTGTCTTGCCTCTGTTGACAGAAAGACTCAGCCTTGGCTGATTTTTATCGCTCATCGTGTCCTCGGTTATTCTACAAATGATTGGTATGGGCAAGAAGGATCATTCGAAGAGCCCATGGGAAGAGAGAGCTTGCAGAAATTGTGGCAAAAGTATAAAGTAGACATTGCCTTCTATGGCCATGTCCATAATTACGAGAGAACATGCCCCATTTACCAGAACCAATGTGTGGACAATGAGAAGTGTCACTACTCTGGAGCCTTCAAAGGAACTATTCATGTGGTTGTTGGTGGTGCAGGAAGTCACCTGTCTTCCTTCAGCTCGCTGAAACCTAATTGGAGTATCTTCAGAGACTACGATTACGGGTTTGTGAAGTTGACTTCTTTTGATCACTCATCGCTTCTCTTTGAATACAAGAAGAGCAGTGATGGAGCTGTGCATGACTCCTTCACTGTCTTTAGAGAATACAGAGATGTCTTGGCTTGTGTTCGGGATAGCTGCGACCCAACAACATTAGCTTCATGATTTCTTCAACTAAAAAGAAATGGACAACAAGAGAATATATATGCAAAAACTTGATAGGAGATCAAAAGATGACAACGAAAATTCACAATGGCTTTATTGTCGCGTTCGATGGAAAGCTTGGTTGTGTGATGGTTTCAAAATCGATGTATGTACACAAAGACTGAACAATGAACATAATGGTTTATATTGTAAAATATGAGAACAAAAACTGATATAAAGAAGAAATCAACATGTGATAGTAGAGCCAAGTAAAGAGCAAAAGTAGGAGAAATGGAATACAAGAGATATGCGAGGATCGTGAAACATGTGACTAAAGCATCCAAAGATGTTTGCCATTACAATCGAGTAATGAGAGAGGTCGTCCTGATGATTTCTGGAGAATTTCGCAGCAGCCGTCCACGTAGTGGTACTGAATAGGCTGAAGAAGCAATAGTAGTAACACACGATTATGAGGAATGATTCGCCAAGTCTTGTGCTTATGGGAATCTTGTGGCGTTTTATATACAAGAAGGTTGCAATGTTAAAGCCTAAGATGAACACTTGAATCACCAATTGGTATTAGTAGTTTCCACTTCTTCCTGCACCAACCAAAAGTAGTTTCTGAATTGGACTCACCAAGTGTTCAACAACACATAATACTAGTT